CCCTACACGTTTACATAGACTTACCTAGCTTGTTGCTCTTCATCATTTTCAAATCAATATTATCCACCACAATGCTGTGTTCTGTCCTTGTAAGCAAACGGTTAAAGCCAGAGTTATTTTCAATGGTATGCAGACCTAAGCTGAGTTGCATCCTTCTCAGGCATGCAGGTGATATTTATTCATTGGAGCAGGAGAGGAATGAGAAAGCAGCAGTGAGTTCCCAACAGTGATTACAGAGATATTTATTTCAAAGTTCTAGGCTGAAAATAAGTAACAATTTAATTTTTCCTCAGTGACTGAAATGAAGCATAATCCTTGCATTCATTTTTTCAGATATCTCTAGGTGTTAATGCAATTAATGATTTAAATAATCTTGGATCGATTTCACTTCCTTCGTCGTTGCTGACAGATTTACCCCCTGAAGAGTTTGACTTGGCTTCTAGAATTATATTCAACTTCTTTAAAAAGACCACTGTGTTCCAGGTATCTTTTTGATCCTCTTTTTGTAAGGCTTTTAAACTCAAGCCTAGAGTAAAATAAAATACAAACGGACTTTTTTCCCACAAACACATTTCAAAACTGCCTGATACAAAAAAGTAATTGGTTTTGTCCAGTGGTCACTCCACATAACTGACCTTGTGGGTGCTGTGCTCTGCTATTGTTTCCCTTAAGATTTTAAAATCTGATTCTTTTTTTGTTGTTCCAGGATTTGTCTTTAAAGAATGCATCTTTAATCAGCAATGTTATATCATCAAGTGTTGCTAACCTCACGATTAGGAACTTAAAGGCAAATGTTACTGTCACTTTACAGAATATCAAACCTAATCAGGTATGGTTTACATTTTGGGAGACTTAAAATACAGTTTTATTCCCTCCATTGGGGTTGTTGTAGAGGAAATAATGTACCAAGAATACAGATCAGTTCGTTCTGCTTTACTAGTGTGGATGTTTCATTTCCATCTAGATTTTCAAAATCACCCATCACTGGTACAAATTTTTAGTCTCAAATGGTTTCAGGTAATTTTGCTCTATCAGTTCACAGATTCACAGAATGTTAGGGGTTAGAAGGGACCTCAAAAGATCATCTAGTCCAACCCCCCTGCCAGAGCAGGATCACCTAGAGTACATCACCCAGGAACACGTCCAGGTGGGCCTTGAAAGTCTCCAGAGATGGCGACTCCACCACCCCCCTGGACAGCCCCTTCCAGTGCTCGGTTGCTCTCATCATAAAGAAGCTCTTCCTTATCTTCAGGTTGAACCTGCTTGTGGCCATTGCCCCTAGTCCTGTCAACAGACACCACTGAGAAGAGCCTGGCCCCATCTTCCTGACACCCACCCTTTAGATATTTATAAGCATTAATAAGACCCTCCCTCAGCCTTCTCTTCTCCAAGCTAAACACCCCCGGCTCCCTGAGCCTTCCCTCATATGACAGCTGTGCCAGACACTTGATCAGCTTAGTAGCCCGGTGCTGGACCCTCTGCAAAAGTTCTTTATCCTTCTTGAGCTGAGGAGCCCAGAACTTCACACAGTATTCCAGGTGGGACCTCACCAGGGCAGAGTAGAGGGGAGGATGACTTCCCTCCACCTGTTGGCCACAGTTATCCATCCGTTTTGTTATCTTTCCAAACTACCCTTCTGTTTTATTCCCCAAAGAATAAAAACTCTTAGATGAAAGCCTGACAGTGGGGGATTGCTATGGAGATGGTGCAATCATGACATTTGTAGGTGCTACATGTCCAGAAGGCAACATAAGTCTTTTTCTAAGAGGGAATGTTATTCCTTAAACTGGAACATAGGATTGTGTCATCTGGCATTATTAGAGCTCATATACAGCATCTCTTTTCTAAATGAGCATCAGGGGTTGAAGTCTTCCAACCCATATCTTAAAAGAGACTAAAATACTGTAAACTGAAAAATGTAGGGATTTCACTAATGTACCTGAAGCTTTTTTCAAGAGCTGGCTTAGTGTAGTCTTTACTTATATTGAAATAGTACTGACTTTTGAGGTATAACTGTAGAATTAAGATGATTTTTCTTTTCTGTGTGGTCATGTTCTTGATACTTAGAAAATCAGGGAGGATGAGAAACCCCAAGGATTTATGTAGTGTGAGAAGACAGTAAAAGAGCATTCATAATGTTCTACCAGGAACAGAATCTTAGCATAAGTGCAAGAGCTACGTCCTGTATTGCTGACTTCAGATTTATTTTCAAGTTCATTTTACGTTCATGTTAAAACACATATATTTGCTGTGTACAATATTTGTTCTTGCCTGTGTTTTGTAGATAATTCATAAATTACTTGATCATAAACTCATAGTTTAGTAAAACATCTTTTCTTTTTTTTTTTTTTTTAATCTCCTAAACAGGATAATTCAACAGTTAGATGTGTGTTTTGGGACTTCAGTAAAAATGGTAAGTACTTGGTATCACCCAAGATAGCATGCTAGTTTAGCTATGTTAACGTATGTTAATATAAATCAAGGCTTCTGTGAATAACAAAGGTCTTTTCTGTGACAGCTGGACATGGAGGCTGGTCATACGAAGGTTGCACAGTTAAAGAAAGTAGAGTAAATGAAACAGTCTGTTCATGCAACCACCTCACAAGCTTTGCAGTTTTGATGGTAAGTATTAAAAAAAATATGCACTCATACCCTGATTCCAGGACACATTTAGGCATGTGTTATCTTAAGCAAATGAGAATTCAGTAAGCACCTACCACCTATAAAATATTGCTCAGGTTCTGTTCATCAGTGTTAGTGCATGTGGCCGTGCAGTTAGTCACATGTTTGAGCTGCTTATTGAATGAGGGCTCTTGGATTACACTGGAGGGAAGAATTCCTTTAGTGCTTATTAAACTGCAGCTTTTACATTTAGGAAGTTGTCTATATTGTAGAGAATAAAAATTAGAATAAATCAAATTTAAATCAGGCTTTTAATCAAATCAGACTTCATAATTAGAAATATAGAAGATCATAAGTTGTAAGGGACCCATAATGATCATCAAGTCTAGCTCCCTGCTTCTGCAGGGCTAGATTGGCTTTCGTGTTTTTCGGTTAACCTTTTATAAAATCCATGATGAAATGTTTCCTTTTTGTTTTTTTTTAATTGCAGAGGGAAAGGTGTATTTTAGGTTTTTAAAAATCCTTTTCTTTTTAATATACACGTTTTCTAAAATTAACTTCTGTTTCCATTTTAGAACTTGTATGGAAATATCCCTTCGAATCCCACACAAGAATTGGTATTGACTTTTATATCCTATATAGGGTGTGGCCTCTCTGCAATTTTTCTTTCTATTACTCTTGTGACCTACATAGCCTTTGAGTAAGTACCCCTTAACTAAGCTCCCATTATTCTTCACTTATGATTGCTTGTAGTCTTCACTGCAAAGAGCTTTCCAATAGTTAACAGATTCTGTTTCTGTTAATAATGCACAAATTTGTCCAGTTTACCAGGAAGGTGTTGATTCAGTCTTACAGGAACATTAATCTTGTGGACAAGTGAATTAACCATGAGGGTTTATTTATTAAGAAGTGAGGAAGTAGCACTCTTAAATATTTTATAATGGATTATTGAATAGAAGTGTGAAGGAATATATTTAAGATACAGTATATATAGAGCAGTGTAGAATAACAGCATTTTTAAAGACATTTGTATTGTTTGTTGTTTGATGGAATATTTTCTTGCATTTGAGCCTTAACTACTGAATCTTCTATACTGTGTTTTGGAAACCCTTCACAAAGTTATTCAGCACATGTTTATTCGTTCATTATACTGTCATCAAGGACTTCTCTCTATCAAGGCCTTAGAAGCCCAATCAAAAGCCTGATCTAGCTTAGCAATAAAGGAATAGTCACATTCTGGTTTTCGGAAGTACTGTAACAAGAAGTCCTATGTGCAATTAATGTAAATAATTGTGGTTCTCAGCTCTAAGAATCCAAGCAATTATTTGTATTTATGTAAGTTTATTATAAAAAACTTTATTAATACATACCATTAATTTGGAAATCTTTTATAAATTACTCTTGCCATGTATAAATGCAATGTATGAAGCCGTATACATGAATGAAATATATACATATTATTTTTTTCTTGCCATTTGTGCACTAAGGAATACAAGAGAGGAAATAAGCCAGGGATCTATGGACAATTGATGTCATCTCACAAATTTTTTTTTTCAGGAAAATCCGGAGAGACTACCCTTCCAAAATCCTTATTCAGCTGTGTGCTGCATTACTTCTCCTCAACTTAGTTTTCCTCCTAGACTCATGGATTGCACTGTATGATACACGAGGCCTATGCATTGCAGTTGCAGTGTTTCTTCACTATTTCCTCTTGGTTTCCTTCACCTGGATGGGCCTAGAAGCTTTCCATATGTATCTGGCTCTTGTGAAAGTCTTTAATACCTATGTGCGGAAATACATTCTTAAATTCTGCATTGTTGGTTGGGGTATGTATTCTTTATTGTGTTTGTTGAGTTTTGTTTTTTTCCCCTTTTCAATGCTAAATACAGAAATCCTTATATCAAGTATTTCAGTAAATGTGACACAGTTCAGAAATGAAAATAAAGCAATCATTAAATGTTACGACCCTGCAGTAACTAGGTATTCGCTGTCAGTGAACCTGATCCTATATATTCCACCTTTCTGAGGCAGGGAACTCCTCCCTGATTGCAGAACCGAGGCTCCTGCAATGCATTTGATTTTGAATTTTCCTTGTGTGAGTACAGTAGAACCAAATTTCAATGTGCATACTTCCATTTCCATTTACCAAATGGATGCCATCAGTTGTATTTTGAAAATAAATGCCAATAAGTATATATATTCCATTTCTGGGATAGCACTGTGGGTAACAAAAATCAACAAAACACATGTAACTGCATAAAGGATAAAGAGATTCTGACCCTGATTATCCTCTCTGGCCACTTGAATAAAAATGAGTGAAGACACTAAAATCAGTCGAATTGTTTTCTTGAAAGAGATGTAAGAAAGAAGATCAGGTATCCTGTGCTTGATGTTTTAAATCAGTTTGAGTGATGGTATTTGTTGCCTTATTCAGAAAGGTTTGGAGCTAGTGATGGAGAAGAACACTTGTTTCTTTGCAGGTTATGCTTCTAGGCAGTTTGAATGCTCTAGTTTTTAGATTCTTTCAGGCAACTAGTAGTCAACAGAATTCAACAGACAAATTTCAGAAACAAGCTGCATATTTCACAGAAAAATATAACAACTTCAAGTCCTCATAATAGTGTCTTTGTTATAATTTTCAATTCTGTGTTTGTTCATAATCTTTTAGGGTTACCAGCAGTAGTTGTGTCCATTGTGTTGGCGGTATCACCAGATAATTATGGACTCATAACCACTGGAAAGGTTTCAATAAACAGACCTGATGAATTGTGAGTTTTTGGGGGTGAGTGGGAGGGAAACTATGAAACTGCTCTTCTTTAAAGTAAAGATGGGAAAAGAAGGAAGCAATAGGAGAGCTTTGAAATGCTGTATGTCATATGTATGTATATATATGTATGTATATCTACAGTATGTCATATGTTTTGTGGTTATTGCCTATGTAAAAGCTCTTACCCTTTGGCAAAAAAAAATACTAGAGGCAAAAAATGTTTTCATGTGCAACAAACTGCACATTTATCTTATGTTTATTTTATTTAATTTCCATTTCTGATAATGATTGACAGACTGTTCTTGTGTTCTAGCTGCTGGATTAAAAATAGCATTGTCTTCTATATTACTGCTGTGGGATACTTTTGCCTGATATTCCTCATCAATATCAGCATGTTCATTGTTGTGCTGATCCAGCTCTGTCGTATCAAAAAGAAAAAACAACTTGGTGCTCAAAGGAAAACCAGTATTCAAGACCTTAGGAGTGTTGCTGGCCTCACATTCTTGTTGGGAATTACTTGGGGATTTGCTTTCTTCACAGTAAACGAGGTATTTACTTACCTCTTTACCATTTTCAACACTTTGCAAGGTAAGTTTATCCTTCATGTGACAGGCCATTTTTTCAATGTAATGAACAAAATTTCAAAATGGCATTTCTTTGATTCAGTGATAAAGATGTAATTTTGATGCGTGCTTTAACATGTTAATTAAATTAGAGATGATACTGCTTTACTATAATCTTAAGTTACAGTAAGGTACAGGAAAGATGGCTCCTATTTATAGGTATAGTATATTTATATTTATAAATACTATAATTCTGAAAATTTATGCAAATCAGACACCACTAGAAGTAACTGTTTCTCTAGTTAACAGATCAATTGTAAATTCTCCGTAACTCTTAACTGTTCATATAATAATGCAATTAATGTAGTTAAAACTACCATTTCTCCACTTACCCCTAAGCCTTAGGGGTGAGGTGACATTCAACAAAGGGTCATTGAGCCAGGCAAGGCTGCAGCATCTAAAACTTAGTGGTCTAACTTGTAAGCTTGGCCTTTAGTACTTAAGAACATACAAGAAGCAGATATGAGGGCATGCAGGTTTGCAAAGGCCAGGATACTACTGGACATAGTCAAAAGAAGAGTTTCAGAGGCTGCAAAAGCTTTCATATAAATATACTGTAGGTGCCTACAGTTATCTATACCTGAATTGCCCTACTGATGCAATTGGTGGTTCAGCTGATATGCCAGAGGGACGAGAGGACATCCAGAGGGACTTGGACAGACTGGAGAGGTGGGCTCAGGTGAACCTCATGAGGTTCAACAAGACCAAGTGCAGGGTCCTGCACCTGGGGTGGGGTAGCCGACATTACCAATACAGGCTGGGAGAGGACATGTTAGAAACCAGTCCACTGGAAAAAGACTTTGGGGTACTAGTAAATGAGAAGCTGGACATGAGCCACCAATGTGCAGCAGCAGCCCAGAAGGCCAATCAAATCCTGGGCTGCATCAACAGAAGCGGGGCCAGCAGATGGAGAGAGGTGATCCTGCCTCTCTACTCTGCCCTGGTGAGACCTCACCTGGAGTGCTGTGTCCAGCCCTGGAGCCCCCAGCACAAGAAGGACGTGGACCTGTTGGAACGGGCTCAGCAGAGAGCCACAAAAATGATCAGAGGGCTGGAGCACCTGTCCTATGAAGACAGGCTGAGGGAGTTGGGGTTGTGTAGCCTGGAGAAGAGGAGGCTCCGGAGGACGTTATAGCGACCTTCCAGTGCCGGAGAGGGGCCTACAAGAAAGCAGAGGAGGGACTATTCACAAGGGTCTGTAGAGACAGGATGAAGGGTAATGGCTTTAAGCTAGAAAAGGGTAGATTTAGGTTAGACGTTAGGAAAAAATTCTTCAGTATAAAGATGATAGATCCCTGGAATAGGTTGTCCAGAGAGGTGTTGGAGGCCCCATCCCTGGGGACATTCAGGGTGGGGATTGGTGAGCCTCTGAGCAGCTTGACCTAGTTGGAGATGGTCCTGCTTATAGCAAGGGGGTTGGACTAGATGACCTTTGGAGGTCCCTTCCAACCCAAACATTTTATGATTCTATGATAAGAAGGTCTGGAAGGAGGATCCAGGGAACTATAGGCCTGTCAGTCTGACCTTGGTGCCATGGAAGGTTACGGAGCAGAACATTTTGAGTGCCATTACAAACCATATACAGTACATCGAGGTGATCAGGCCCAGTCAACAGGGGTTTATGAAAGGCAGGTCCTGCTTGACTGACCTGATCTATGACAAGATGACACACAGTGGATGAGGGAGAGGCTGTGGATGTTGTCTATTTGGACTTTAGTAAAGCCTTTGACACTTTCCCACAGCATTCTTCTGGAGAAACTGGCAACTTATGACTTAGACATGCATGTACTCTGCTGAGTAAAACACTGGCTGGATGGGCAGGCCCAAAGAGTGGTAAATGGAGTTAAATCCAGTTGGTGGCTGGTCACAAGTGGTGTTAACCAGGGCTCAGTATTGGGGCTGTACCTATATAACACCTTTATCAATGATCTTGGTGAGGAGATAGAGTGTACCCTCAGTAAGTTTGCAGGTGACACTGAGCTTGGTAGAAGTGTTGATTTGCTTGAAGGTAGGAGGGCTCTACAGATGGATGTGGTCAGGTTGGATCAGTGAGCTGAGGCCACTGGTATGAGGTTCAACAAGGCCAGTTGTAGGTCCTGCACTTGGGTCATAACAACCAAATGCTACAGGCGTGGGGAAGAGTGGCTGGAAAGCTGCCTGGACGAAAGGAACTTGGGGATGCTGATCAACCGCTGGCTGAACATGAGCCAGCGGTGTGCCCAGGTGACCAAGAAGGCCAACAGCATCCTGGCTAGTGTGGTCAGCAGGACTAGGGAAGTGATCATCCCCTTGTACTTAGCACTGGTGAGTTCACAGTGTGAGTACGGGGTTCAATTTTGGGCCCTTAACTACAAGAAAGACATTGAGGTGTTGGAGTGGGTCCAGAGAATAGCAGCAAAGCTGGTGACAGGTCTGGGGATCATGTCTTATTAGAAATGGCTGAGGGAACTGGGACGAGACTGAGTGGAGACCTTATCACTCTCTACAACTACCAAAAAGGAGGCTGTAGAGAGGTGGGTGCTGGTCTCTTCTCAGAAGTAACAAGTGACAGGCCAAGAAGAAACGGCCTTAAGTTGCGCCAGGGGAGGTTTAAGTTGGATATCAGGAAAAATTTCTTTGCTAAAAGTTGTCAAACACTGGAACAGACTACCCAGGGAAGTGGTTGAATCACCGTCCCTGGATACGTTTAAAAGTTAAAGGGGTTAAAGTTGCACCAGGGGAGGTTTAGATTGGATATTAGGAAGAATTTCTTTACTGAAAGAGTGGTGAGGCACTGGAATGGGCTGCCCAGGGAGGTACTAAAGTCACCATTCCTGGATGTGTTCAAAAAAATGTGTGGATCTGGTATTTCAGGACATGATTTAGTGGTGATGGTTGGACTTGATGATCTTGGCGGTCTTTTCCAATCTTAATGATTCTGTGATTCTAAATTGTGTAGATATGGTGCTTAGGGACATGGTTTATCAGTGACTTGGCAGAGTTAGATTAATGGTTAGACTTGATGATCTTAAAAGTCTTTTCCAGCCAAAACAGTTCTATGATTCTATAAAAGATGGGACTGTGGCACACTGTATGTTAAAAGCTGCATAGCCTGACAGTGTTGTATCATAAACTCCGTTTGACATTGCTTTGAATTATTTTCCAAAAGCATTAAGTAAATTTCAGGATCCACAGAATGTTTTCCCTTCTTATTTGTTAGAAGGAAACTTTATGGATTTGGCTATATTTGTTGTCCTCGCTTTTTTGTGTTTGATTTCTCTCATCTATGCAAGGGAAGAGTACTCTTCAGAGTTGTAAACTTTTTCATTAAAGAAAAGTATCATTTATTTCTGATGACACATTTAAAAGAAATGAAAGAAAACTGAAATACTGTTCATTAAGAAGTAGTAAAAGTCAGTCTTGCAACAGCAACATTCTCTAATATTATTGCTTTGCAGGGTTCTTCATTTTTATCTTCTATTGTGTAACAAAGGAGAATGTCCGTAAACAGTGGAGAAGATATCTCTGTTGTGGGAAATTCAGGCTGGCTGAAAACTCTGGTAATGTGAATATTTTATTTATTTATTTATAACTCATGAGTACTTATACTCAAGTGTTAGGTTCCTAGTATTTTGTAATGCTTAAAATAAATCAGTAAATCATACCGCTGCAGTTGGACTTCTAATTTATTATTCAAGGCATAATAAACCTCCAAAATTATACTCACTGAATGTGGCAGCTGACACAGTTCTTAGATGCTGTTGCATTAAGCTGTTAACTGCAGCTAATCTCTTCCACTGCAGTATAAACTTGTGTCTTCAGGAAGACTTTTGATCAGTTAGAAACTAAGATTTGTTCCGGCTTCTGAGTCAACTGTAGTTTTAACAGTGACTTCCACAAAAAGAAGGTGAAGCATATGTTAAATCCAGAAAACTATAATTGGTATTATTTTGTAATTCAAAATAACAATGTTACTTTGTTGATTTCTCATAAAGCTACATATTTTTAATATGCTTTAACTTGTAGGATCAACTGTACTTGAGTTATTTTTCTGATCTGGTCTGCAGTCATAAAACTGGCAGTTGGGTGCTTGTTCAAAAAAGGGTATTACAAAAGGGATGAAGAATAAGGAGCTAGATTCAAGTAATTCTAAACATCAAGAATCATTAAATTCTTAGGAGAATATAATTCTGTCTAGAATACTGGAAGGAGTGTGGGTAAAGTCTTGTTTTTATTTTAATTCATTTGCATTATTAACTATATTCGTATATACTATCTGCATGAATTATTCTATTTTTTGTAACATATCTATTGTAGACTGGAGTAGAACTGCTACTAATGGCTTAAAGAAGCAAACTGTAAATCAAGGAGTATCCAGTTCTTCCAATTCCTTACAATCAAACAGTAACTCCACTAACTCTACAACACTGCTAATGAATAATGATTATTCAGTGCATGTGAATGGAAATGGTATGTATAATGCAAAAATAGAATTTCTCAAGCTATTTTTTTAATTGTCTTTAAAACAGAAGTGCTCTGCTCTTTCATGCTAATAGAAAACGAAATACTGACAAAATATTATTCGTAAGTATAGTGTCAGAATATTTTGGGATGTCCTCACAAGTAATACCACACATCTGTTTTAGGGAACTGTAGACCAAGTTTTAAAATATCGATTTCTCCTAGTCAGTGGAAACTTTTGATTTATATATCAAATAATAGGTAAAATTTGTTATTAGAGCAATTATCTACCAGAAGCTGCTGTTAACGCTTTTCTTGTCACCTGAATATATGACAGCAAACTTCAGGCATGCTTTGAAACGGTTAATCTTTTAAACCTTATTAAAACAAACAATGGCTGAAGAAGAAAGAAATATAGGATAATAGTATAGCTTGAAAGTATGAGAGAAACTATGTAGGAAATAATACAAGGGAGAATATTAATGAAGTGCTGAGATGGAAGCAGCTTATTGCTGAGAGGGCTGCCTCACTGTTGGTTACAGAGTAAGTATTGAAGCTGAATTCCTCTACAGCTCTTTATTTCCCCTGTTGGATTTTAGGGATGTTTTTGCCTAACAGAAATACAGCTTTGTTGCAGGAAACAATTCTTCAGAAGTAACATTCTCTCTCCTTCCTGTTTTAGCACAGTAATGAAGTACTATATTACCCTCTGCTCTGTACCCGAGAAGTTGAACTGCAGGTGTATGTGGCACTCCAATCAATTTGACTTGCAAATCGATGCGGCTTATTTGTCTGTTGAGAATACTAGATATGAATCTCCCCTGAATGCACTTATGAAAAAATGATCTTTTTTTTCAGTGGACATTATCAAGCTTTGCACACTCTTGCTGGACGAATGTTATGCTGCTAATTTCAGGTCTCAGTAAAGAAAATAAGTTTTTCAAAGAGAAAAATAATTTATCAGTCTGTAATGTACAAAAGCCTGAGCTGAGCAAAACTTATGGAACTTTACTCCTGTGTGCCTCAGGTATTTTTCCCAGCTGATCAAGAGTTGAGGCTAAAAATTCTTGCCATCAATCAGGTTGTTTAGATTGTTTAGTATGAAGTTGTAGACAAAATTACAGAGGCTGTGTTGTCCTAATTTCCTGGCATATGCTATCAGAAGACAGCAGATGATCAGTGGGATAATCTCAGCAGATAATTTCTCAGATGTACAGAGTAAAACCTGTGGAATTCATATATGCTGCCCCTTTAATAGGTTACGGTCCACTTGGATGTACTAGCTGCCTGTGGTAAAGAACTCACAACATACCCTGAACAGCTTTCCAAACTGAGCTTGTAAAATTATTTCCTGTTTGTTGTGTTGGGGTTTTTTTTGTCGTTTTTTTGTTATTCCTTTATAAACCTGTTTGTATACCACACAATGCAATAATTAATGTACTTGGTACCTGGCAGGTCAGTTGAGAACCAGAATCCAGTAACTCTCACTGTCATCAGATACAAAGACAGGCAGTATTTTTAGGTAGAAGTAGTACCTTTCAAAGAGAGAAAAATTTTCAGGCACAAAAGCCAGCATGTCTTGTAGGGATTTTTTTTCCAGCTATGTTAGTCATTCTGATGAAAGATGCCACCTCTCTGCAACACTGAACATGCTTACACACAACTACAAAAGCACTTTGGCTATTTTTCTCAACAGAAAGAAAGATGGCTAAAAATATTTTATTGAACTTGTTTGTTGTAACAACTGAGTGAATGGTCCTGTTGTGGCCTTCTGCAACAAGTTTTTGTTGATTTGGGTAGTATTTTAGAACAAGATGTGAAATTGATGGTCTCAGCTGTTGAACAATGCCAATTCCATGAGACGTGCTCCAGCTACATCCTAGTTTATTCACATATTTAAATCTTTCCTGTGTGAGAGTCGGTATGTCCTGTGCCAGAGTTCCTTGGACAAAGCACTTGAAAGAACTTTGATAGAACTTTGTTCCTATACACTCAGGAAGACATATGTCTCACATGACCCACCTCATCTCCTCTTGTATTTTATTGAATGTTTTGAATGCTGTGAAGCCTGTACCACAACCTGTGTTCATACTGAAAGGATTGTATTATACTGTACCTGCATAGTTCATTTGGCAAATAATTTTTCTGGGTCTTTAGGACTTCCACAAAAAGAGGCTAGATTTATGTTTGGATAGTTTGTCCTCCCAGCAAAGCTCTGTAAGGCATTTCCTTACACTTAATCTTCCAAACATGGGGCAGTTGTATCTCAGAAGAGATGAGCAAATGCCTCCAAAAGGTAGTTGGCTGATGTTAGGTAGGAACATGGGACCTTCTAATTTGCTGTACCTGCTGACCCTGCTCTCAAAGCTGGTACTTCAAAATAACATTGCAGTGCTTCGTTTTTAAAAGTGAGCTCCAGAAAGAAAATGCTCTAGAAATGAAGACCTATGTAGTGAGTTATAAATACTTAATGGGTTTGGTCTCACTATTTCCACTGAAATGCAGTTCCGGATGCAGGATTGAGTGACTTGCCATGGTAACTTTAGGGTGACTGTACAGCCTGTGGCTTTTCTGGCCTACCGGACTGTCTAACTTCCACCTTTTCATGGCATACTAATATTTCCTTGTTTTCTGTTTTTCTGTAACAAGTTTGCGTGATTAGGAAAGTACCATTAGGTATCAAATGGCTGAAGTGGCAGATTTCCTCACTGAGGAACAGAAACCACCTTTCTGAATTTGTTCACAAAATAGCCTTATTTTCTTCTCAGATTTTGCGCTAGCATTAGGGCACAGCTATTTTGAACATGCCTTCTAAAATAAAAGTGTAGTCAGGGGCTTAAATAACTAGATGTGCATAACTGCACTGTCAGCAAGTGTGGTTATTTTCTGTCATTTCAGTCTTTACCTGATATGAGTTGATTAACAAAGTTCTTCTACTCATCTTACTCTGTTTACATTTGTGCCTGTGTAAATGCTTGATATTCTTTTGAATTAATAATTAAATATTAGATTTTATATTTAAGAGATTTTGCATAATCTGTTGGGCTTCCATTTTCTAGGTCCAGTGGCAGCTCAGTAGTTCGGCATGGAATTAGTAATCAAAGTGGGCTAGAATCATCATAAACCCACCCCCTTAAGCTCCCATCCTGAGATGTTTAAGTTCTGTGCATTACATTTTCAAACTGGTAGTAGGCTTTAGTAGCTAGAAGTACACGTTCACGTCTTATTTTAAAAATGCCATCTTTCGTTCCAGAGAAAAGTTTGCCTGGGAGACTTTGATGCAGATGGCAGGCTGAAATCTGCTTGAATCAGTAGGATAACTGAAAAGTATGCAGTATGCCTAAAGCGAAGGATTAATTTCTAGAGAAAGTGTTTGGGTAGACAGATACTAAACCCTGTGTAGTTGAGGGCCCTGGCCCCAGCAGAATAGAGAAGAGCAGCCCGGCCCAGTCACTCAAGCAGCAGAATCCTTTCTGCAGGAGGGATTAAGTGCAGGGATGGATGTCACCAAACAGTCTCCCTCTGGTGAAACCAACAAGAAATAGTTCAAGAGCATCCTGTAATGTGGCCCTGCCCCTTCTGGAAGGGTTCAGAAGCTTGACATGGTGAGAGAGTGAAAGGGGAGGACAAAGCCAAAGCAGAACTCTGATATATGATTGAGGTATTTGATGGACTGAATTCAGGCGTACTAGAGAGGATCAGATTTTGATCCCTGTAATGGAGTCATCTTTCACTGCCTAGGTTTCTCACCAGTGCTTTTCCTCCTAAAACTATAAACTGCAAGCAGTTTCCACCTTCACTGTTGTGTCTTTTTGGTAGTTTTACTGAAATCTGCTGAATCATGATGTTTCTGTATGAAGTGAATATTAAAACAAATTGCAAGCTCGGATGTTTTATGGGTTTTATTAATTGTTTTTCTGGTATAAATGATAAATGACAGCTCTGCATGTGTGTTTGCAAACTCATTTCTTGTTGTTTAACAAAGTGATCCCCTCCCCAAAGAAACACTAGGTCTGGTTTTGGTTTCCCCATCCTGGTGTTACCTATAATTTACTCACTACTGTTATGATACCTGTGATAATCAGGATCATGGCAGATCTTTTAAACCTCACAGCTTTGCAACAACAACAAATCAAAATCCAACTAGAAGCATTTCCACAAATACAATAAAATTTTGTGATTCTCATCAAAATTATCTAAAAACTGATGCATAGAGGTAGGAGATTCTATCCAGTGAACTGAGCATTTTTGGAAGATTTCCCTGAAAGGCTTCAGTCAGCAGTGGTATTGTACATGTTCATTGTAGAGTCACATAAATGTGTAAGTTTCTGAATCTAAATATGATTTAGATCCATGATTTGACCTAAGCCATATTCTGATAGTCCTTCAGAGATAAATGATGCAAGTTTTCTCAAATATTTTTCTTGTTTCAGTTGCACAGCAAACCTGAGAAACCTTTAAATCTTGTTAAACTAGAGTGAGAAATATTTTGCGTCTTATCTAGTGATACTTATTCCGAGTCAAAGTCTCATTCTGAGAACTGCAGCCTTCACTGCTTAAAATAAGCGATCCTATCCTGCATAAATAGATTAACATCTCTCTAATCTCTTACAGAATATGTACAGAAAAATCCACATTTTGAAATTGTTGCAGGGAAGAAACGAGTGTATGAACTCCCTACAGTGACTGCAGAAGCATGGGAGATTTGATTCTGAACCTTTCTGACAGAGGGTGTACTTCTTTTGTTTCAACAGGCCATATTTCCAGTGAAAAGAATGGTGATGTGTGTCTCCATGACTTCTCAGGCAAACAACTCGTGTTTGAAGAAAAAGATGATACAGGCAGCCAGAAAAGCCATATCTCACTCAGGAGGACTTCAAAGAGAGGAAGCCTGTCTTTTCTTGAGAAAATGTGATTTCCTTTTAAACACCACATTGTTCTACAGTGTGAAGTAGAGATTTACTTTTAACAGTTTTACATAATGTGAGCAGACCAAGAACTGATTTTATTTAATATATGGTACTGGAACTTCAAGGCAGCCATGCAATGGATTGACAAGGACAATTATTTAAAAATTAAAAAAATAGCTACTATTTTGACAAGCTATCTTGGATGTCAGATTGCAGCTGGCACATTTTCATTTTGATTCTTCATTAGAGGTTTTTATGAGGTTGTTTTTTTTAGATTTAAAGAAAAGTTTTGTTTAGACTTTTTCCATAACAGCTAAGTTTGTGTGGTTATACTGCGTAGTAGTATTGTATAAATGTAGGAAGTTACAACTTGTGCATACAAATGATGTTATCTTTAAAAATGTTAGCTACTCTGTCTTCAACTTTTTGTATGTTATAGTAGCAAACTCTGTAGTGATGTACATAAACAGAAACATATCAGGTTTTAAGCATCTTAATGATACTTTTATATTTATTTCTTGTAATATAAATTTAAATATTCTTATGTATAGAAAAATAGTTGGTATTTTGTTTTAACTTTTATTCTAAGTTTGCATTTTTCTTTAATTGAGATAATTAACTTTAATGTAGAATGACACGGAAGTTAATTTGTTCAGTAAAGTGAAATCCCTTACAGTGGTTTAACTATTCACTAGATATAGAACTGTAAATGAAAACACTGTTGGTCTGGAATCCTTAGTGACCTCTTCGTACACCACAGGGGGATAGAAATTTGGTATTGGCACAGCAGAGTGCCATGAATGAGAGAGGGATTGTCAGGTTATTAAATACAACTAAGTTACGTTAGTGGCTTGAGTAAGTCAGTGGGAGTTTTTGCCATTGATTTCAGCAGGGTAAATATCTTGAGTGGTGGTTACAGAAATTAAACACTGCCATTTGTCATTTGCAGTGATAAAAAAAAGTAGAGAAGTGTTATTTTTTGACAAAGAAATACAGTGAATACATGCTAGCTGCTGTGTTTGGTAGCTGAGAAAATGTTTCATCGTGTGGCCATTTAAGGGGCAGTTCTTGAGCTATTCTAATGAGAATTTCTGCTTGTACTTTGGCCCTTAGTTAGCAAGCCAAATCCTGAGGCCCTAGCTCAGTAATTTCTGAAGCAAAACTTCATTCCCTTTGTGATATTTGTCTGAAAAATGTGGATTTGGGCTTTTCATGCACAACAGCTGAAAACCCACACAACGTTGTGAAGACTCTTCCTGAACAGAAATCAGCTTGAGCCCTGGTTGTGCCTCTTCTTCCTGACACAGGTGTGCAGCTGCAGCCGTTACTTTTTCCCTTCTGTTCTTGGGCAAAGTTTGTATGCTCCAGGAGCAAGAGCGTGAACAAACTGGCACCACGCTGCAGAGTGCCAAACCCTGTAAAGGGGATCTTTGGAGGCAAATAACATACTGGAGGGGAGCAAGGGCTTTGCTTTTCCAGAGGATTCAGTAGGGAGCCGTGGAAACACTCTTCTCAACAACAAGCATCAGTTAAATGCCTGTGATCTTGGGCTCTGTTGTGGTTCAGCAATGGAACCTCCTTAGTACTCAAACACTCTTGTGGTTCTATATGCAACATATAGGTTCTTTTGGTCACCTATGTCCAAGACTACTCTGAATATGTTTTTAAAGTGAGAATTGAAAGTATTTGTTGTGTTTATCCACAAGGTTTTAACTGCATGTTAATTAAAGACTGTTCTGGAACGCTAGTAGCTGGAATGCATTTCTGTGAATGCTTTAACTGTTTGGCTAATTGCCTTTGCACTGTTTATTGTAAATTTATTTAATGTTCTTGTATTTATATTTTCAACTGTAAAAAAAGTAATAAATTTACAGCAAGTACAACACAAGATATATAAACTTTGTCTTTTAGATAAATACATCATACTGAGCTGTTGTTACAGTTCTTCAGATTACATCAGCTGCAGTATGTAACTGGACCTAGCTCCTGCATTTATTATCTTCCACATATTTTACCTTTCATGGTTCTAGAATATCTGGGTTTTAGCAGAGAAAAACATGATGTAAGTCTGTGCAGCCAATGCTTGCCCTTGAGTCTGTTGAAGCCCTTCCACGACAACGCTATGAGCAAAAGCACATAGCTGAGTTTGCCTTCAGTAATTAAATTCCCTTTGAAAAAGCATTTTACACTGTCAACTGACCTGCTCGAATTCTTCCTTTGTTTTTATTTTTGCACACTGACATGTTAGGATTCTTTTAATTACTTTTATTCGATATATTCCCAGGGGTGGGAAGTCTTTTATGACATTTCCACTTAAAAGCACGCTCATACTGTAGTAAAGCTTTGCACTCACAGCAATATACGATTTTAACTCAGTAAATAATTATCATCCCTGAACTTGCTGGAAAAGCATTTGCAAACTGGGTGCCGCAATATCCATTTGGTACTTGGTCTCTTGTGCACTGCTAGCAGCTTAGCCAGGGCAGCCCAGAGCTTGATGAAAGCTGTAGCCCTTTCCCTAAATGTAAATTAAAATTGTATGCATCAGCTTGTGGCTGCAAAGCTCACTCAGGCACATCTGTAAGGAGGCTGTAGTCATAGCCACGGATGAAGAGCAACGTGCACCTTGCTCGGCAAGCCTGCTCGCTAAGCGCATGCAATCTTCTCTGTAAAAAGTCACACCCTGAGGTAGGAAGCTGGTGCAGGGTTTAGGGGAGAGCGACCTGCCCTATGTTCTGGGACTGTGCGGCCTTCCCTGCACTGCAGCTGCAGTGCTCTGGCTGGTGGAGTTAACAAATCAGTTCCATTCCCAACAGACGGCACCTACAGCAGCGCTGCCTGATGGCGATCGCTGAACCAACCAGACTCCTTTTGAGACTGTTTTCTCAACTATGGCCACCAGTTGCACAGCCAATGAAGTAAGCACAGAAAAAAAGTTACAAAATTAACTCTGGTGATGTAATTTCACATGAGAGAAAGAAAAAAACCAACAACTTTCTGAAGTCCGAGTGAATCCCACACCTCCGGCTACTCTGCAAAATCTGTGCTTCAACCACCCAGGCATACTTACCATTGGTTTTCTTCCCATTACCAGGACCACGGGAACTCACTGAAGATTTTACAACAATGTAACACATAATTTTTATTTTATTCTTTGAAGTCTTCATCAAGTTTCTAAGTCTTGGTTCTCTTTGACTTCCCTTTCTTCTGCTCCCTCTTGTCCTACCCGTGTTCAGGGACTACAGCCTGAAAGCACGAGTCACAGAAGAGCAAGTTGTGCCAAAAGCACATGATGCTAAACGTCCCTAAGGGAGAGCTTACGGGAATAGCAGGTTCATTTCTGTCAGAAATCTTCAAGTCTTGTTTCTTTATTAAGGTGGAAAGCCAAGGGTGATGTGAGGAGACACCTGATAAAGTCTTGCGTTTCTTTGGCTTTCATTCT